GGCGCGGGGTTGCGGTAGGTGCTGCGGCGGGGGCTCCTCTGTGAGGAGGGGCCGAAGCTGCCCCGCGTCGGACACGGCCGGGCCCGCAGGAGCCCTCCCCGCAAGGCTCAGCGGGGCCCCTCGGCGGTGGCGCCCCAGGGAAAGCGCGTTTAAAAAAGGGCAAAATGTCACCAGGGAGGCATGAGGAGAAGGTGTGAGAGAAACCGTGTCTGAGGTGAGAGAAGGAGGGGGTCGGAGGTGCCAGGCAGAGGCTGCCCGGCAGAAGGTAGCTGTGGAGCAGACCAGGGCATGTGGAAGTCAAAGAAGCCCTGCGGCCCTGGCATAAAGTCACCAAGAGGGTGGCTGCAGGCTGCCAGACACCTGCTGCTCCCCTTCTGAGATCCAGCCCTGGCGAGAACTCTCCACCTGCAAGTTCAGCCCAGTTCTGAGGCAGAAAGTGTTGGCAGGTGCAAGCAGAGGATACCCTTGGGTAGCTTCTCTGTTTTTTTTCTCTACACCTCATGTCCCTCTAACGGTTTTTCTGCTTGAGTAGATTCCTTAATGGCTCTTCTTCCACCTGGGTTATTTTGACTGTCCCCAGCTAAAATTGCTCCTGCATCAGCTTGCTGCTACATCCAGTCTGGAAGAATGAGGAGAGGGGACTTGGGAGTAAGTATGCGGGAGTGCGCAGCAGCAAACACCAAGCATGAAGAAGAGATGAAGACTGATGCTTGGAAATCAGATGCAGAGCAGAGGTCTAAGCCACGATGCTGTTGGCCACATGCAAGAGGCTCACACCCTCCCAGCGAGTCCTGCTGTCACTCCTGCAGCTCCATGTGGGTGCAGGCATCTGTGCTGAGAGACACTCCCCCCCTCTAGGAATGAGCACAGTATTATTTATCCCAGTAAATTATTCCCTTGCAGCAGTGTTTGGAAAGTAAATTTGGGGTTTTTTCCCAGCGCTGTGGATAGCAGTCATTGGGGAATTTCAAATGATAGTTACCAGGTAAATGAAATGGATCTTTCCAACTATTTTTCAAACTTGTTTTAATGTTGCTTAATTAACATTTGAAAAGAATCATGCTATTAATGGGAGAATCCTACAAAGGAAGATTAAGTCACAAAGACAAAATCTTTAAGATTTGTGGCTCCCCCATGACATAATTGCAACAGAATCTATATTTAGTTTCTAGCTCTCCTAGTTCGTAAACGAGACTCTGACACCTAGTGTCTGCAGGCAGCTTGAAAAAAACAGTTGAGAGTGCTCTGGTAATTCCTATAATTTTTAATCCTGAAATTGCTGCTGTAGCAGTGCTGTCAGTCACAGCATCTCAGGAACTGTAAACTGGGAAGAGGATGGGAGAACCTCAGCAAAGATGCAGCTTTACTGCTATCCCTGGGGCTGAGAGGAGAATGACTCTTGCAGCTGGGCATGGGTGGCTGGTCCTGGTGAGCCTGCAGCATGGCATCACCTTATTCTGACCCGAAATATGAGATGCTGACAGATTAAAAATTGACATTTTTTTATGGTTATTGCTATACCAGCTGTAGCACAAATATACCAGTGGCCAAATAAGCTGGGGGGTTTTTTTGTTAGCTTTGGTCTGAGTGATCCCCTTTTGGTAAAACAGAAAAAAATGGGGATAGGGAGTAAAGATGCTCCAAATTTCGGGACAGGGAGCTATCCAGGCCTTTAAAGTAAAAGACTGGGGAGCCCCATCTCAAATCCTGTGGTTGTCACTGGGATTTTTGGACAGCTGTAAAAATTTCCACCTAGGAGCAAGTTTCCCAAAACCCAGAACAGGACTTAAGTCCCTTATGTTTAAAAATACACTCTTTTATGATCTCATTACAGTGGGGAGCCTGCTACATGAACAACCTACTTCTTCTTTCAAGTTGCCAGAAAACAGGAATACCTCTGGAGAGTTACTTGGGTTCAAGGACTACTTGCATCTTTTTTCTTCAAGAAAAAAGACTTAGGTGATATCAATGTTCTTTTCCTTAGCTATAAACGTTTTTCAGTCCTAAATGAAAGATGCTGCTGTCACCGATTGCTAAAAGATGCAGTTAAAAAGCCATGAAAACAAGGTGGTCTTTTCACTAGGGAAAGACAAGACTGTGGGAAGTGAGGCCCTCGTGAAAAAGCAGGCCAGGCCAGCAGAGAGCAGTGTTTTATCAGCAACACTATTTCCCCAGGGACAGCGCAAAATAGTGCCATATTTCTTTTTCATAGTTGAAATATCTTGTATATATGTTCATAAAGAGTGCTGCATTTGGGATTAGAGATTCCAAAGAATGAGAATGTAATGCTGGGGGGTGGGGGGTGTTTCCTCCTGTGAAAAGCATCATTTATGTGCATGGGGAACAGTTCTCAGTCTGTTCTTGGAAACGCCGTTGCCTCGGAGGGGGCCCTGGGAGGGAGGGTAAATGGTTTAAAAAGTTCTGCATTTGTTCCTGAAACTTTCTCACATACAGTACTGTGGTCATTCCTAGAATTAACTCAAGCCATATAGTCTGTTTGTAACAAATTTTCAAGTGTGATGTCTATTGTATTATATATATTACTTACATGTGCAAATTTAAGAGTCATAGCTTGGTGTATTATACATATAATACCTGAGCTAGAATGGAGGTTACTGGGAACCAGTTATCTGGGAAATTATCTTTGTCACTCTAGTGTTATAAGAACAATTATGCTGGATGTCTGAATGAGAATTAATAAATAGTGATCAAAGACAAATTGTACAAATATGAGAAACTGTACAATTAAAAGGTTATTTTACCATTTTGGTCATGACTATTGCAAACAGTAACAAGATCATATCACAGATATAAATACAAGGTCAGTATTTTTGGCACAGCGTACTCATGAACTACACGTGACTGGTATGTCGTTTTGTGACAGCCAGGTAGTAACATATGCCAAATTACACAAAATGGTCTGTCTCCTCACATCCTCAGAGAGGCACGCAGGAGTTCAACCAGCTGACACGCAACCAGCGATAGAGCTTGGGCTGCCTTACATGGACACGGATGCACGTGTGCAGTTTTGAACATTTGACCTCTGAGAGCTGTACAGTTCATTAGGACTCCCTGTGCAGAGCACATTTCCCTCAGTACTGCTGCCCTTGCCCTGCCAGAGGACTGGCTCTTCCAGGCAGCAGCGCAGGTTTGGGAAGTTCAAGAGGGTGAGGAGTTTGTTCCCAGCTCCTGGCTGGTGCTGGTGCCGGTGCCGCTGAAGCTCGCACAGCAGCCCAAGGGTGCTCAGGCACCAGCCTCCCAGCTGCTGCTGCTCTGCATCTCAGTCCCCATCTGTGTCCTGGCTCCCAGGTGCTCCCCAGCCACTTAACTAATAACACTATTAATACTATTGCATCTTTAAGGGACAAAAGAGTACCTCAGGTGTCTCCTTGAGATATTTCATTTAAAGATTTTTGGCGTTCCTCTTGTAACAGCAGTCCAGGAAGCCAGAAGTTCTGTCCTATGGAAGGCCGAGTTAGGACTGTCTGAAGAAGAAAAATATTTTGGAAATACTAAGGAAAAGTAATAGCACCTAAACCTACAGTTGACTTTCCCACCCAGGGAAGAGTGGCAGATGTTCATTGAACAGTGAACATCTTGTTTCCCTATGGATCTGAGTCCCACAACCCCTTTATCTCCCTGCTGCAAACCACACATCTGTAGCGTTTGCCATGATATTGCATTTTCACATCCTCCCCACATCCCTGACAAGGATAGGTAGCTCTGCAGTCCCATCACTTAACCTGAAACCCTGCATGGCACCTGCTGCTCTCTGATGCCCTCCACTGTGGTTCTGCATCATTCCTGCCCAAAATTTCTATAGCAAGGGAGGACTTGGCACATGCTGTGGCTTCTCTGGAGCTGCATCTGTCCCTGGTCAGAGGGCCATGGTCAAATATACCAATAAATGCTGAGTTACTATTCACTTTCCTATAGAGAAAGCATAAATAAGATATTTCTACGTCTCCTCCGGATAGCCGCCAGTTTTTGACAAACTCAGAAACTAAACATCTTTAAGACATTTATGTTTCTGGCAATTGTGGCTGAAATTGGTAACTAGTTCAATAGTTTTGGAGGAGCAGCAGGTGGTCAAAACAATCACTTAAGCACCCTATTCTGAGGAAATCAGAACAAAACATGCCTTTGCCATATTCACGTTCAGGCCCTGCACCAACTGCTTTCCTTTTCTAGCTCTGTCTTCTTTTCTAATGATGTTCCAGTCATTTCTGTGGTCTGAAGTCATATGTCTTTTAGGATTTTCCTTCTGAGCTAAAGGTATTTTGTGGCAGTAAATTCAAAATCTGAAGCACTCTAGAATCAGGCCAAGCAAGTATATTTTGCTCTTGCTCTGCAATATAGTGAAACAAAGAAATTCACTCCACAGTAAAGTTTTTTTACTGTACGGCAGGTATTCTTTATTAGCAGCACTGGGATCACCCTGGGGATTCTCCACCATAAGGGCTCCCAAGAACTGGTAAGGGACATCAGTTTACATACACACAAATCATACATATTCATTAGATTTCCTTGAAAGGGGTGTCTTATGATAATGAGTTCCCAGGATTCATTTACACAGTCCGAGCATGCGTAGTGAAAATAGGGTGAGGGTCTTCGGTGGTCGATGGAAGAAGCACGTAGTTGTCTTCACTGTGTTCGCTAGCTGACCTTCTTTCCAGAGCATGCGCTAAGTCCAGATGCCTCCTCCCTAAATCAGCAGAATCATCCTCCCTATAATAGGGTCTCTGTGTCTCTTGGTTTGAGCACCCCCTTATCTTAGTTTTCCCATCCTAGGAGTTGCCCAAGTGTCCACCGAAGGCCTTGAGACTGCTGTCAGTGATTTACATAAGGAGCCTAACAAGCGTTTTAATCTTACCTAAACTAAGAGACCTAAGGAAACAGTTGAGGAGTCAGGAGTCCTTGAGA